ACCATTTCAGCGGGCTACGGTTCCATGGCACTTAGGCACCTGCGTAGTACAGAAAGGAAGACTGCGTCACTGAGTGAACATACCAACTCGTAGGTATGGCACAAGCGAAATGTATTATTTTACAATTGAATGTTTATGAACTGGCAGGTATTATAAAAGGTTACTTTGGGTCGGTACGGTCGTAATTTCAAAGGGACATTTCAAGAATAGTGCAACAGATTTGGCCTTTGATAATTGTATCCATCTTGATGTCGAGATGCCCACTGGATTTCCATCAACCACCCCTCTTAGGCTGTACGGAATCCAGAAATGTCCAACTGTACGTACAGTAGTTTTGGTGTGTGTGTGTGGGGGGGAGGCAGTCGTGTAATTGGTTGGTTAATAGGCTGCTTTGCATAGAATGATAAACATGCCACAGTGCCACCATCAGCTGTTTGACGAAACTGTCGAAAGAATTCAATTCAGCTGAATCATCACTTTACTTACAGCAGTTATCAGCATTAGAATTTAGGATCGAGGATAATCTGCATCAGCATTTGTTGATATATTTACCGCATCGCAATTCTACGGTTATTTTAACGTCACTCGTTCACCTCCTCCACTCCCCCTTTCCACTGATGTTTTCCTTCGGCTTCTTGAAACTTGTTTTTTTTGACAAACGAATTTTTTGTGCATTTAATTTTTTAGTGTCTAGTCGACCAAAGATAAACAACGAGAGATCAAGGCGATAGCATAGCACACAAAAGAACGTAGAAGAAACGCGGGAAAACAGTTGAGTTCGTTGACGGCAGTTCTTAATCGCACATTCCATTGGGGAACTTCACTTTGAGTGTCCGTTTGCGTTTAGCCTCGTCAACTTTATACCTTACGGCATTTTGTCGCAAAGAGAATAGTGAATGTGTTAAACATCTGTTGTTTGTGCCAAATTCTTTACAGTATAAATTTTATAGCAATTATTAAAGTAAATTATTAAGACATCTAGAAAGGATTGACTTGAGATATGTTCTCTTTCAATGATTAGTTCTGTATTTTGAGGTAAGAGGCCAATATGAAAGCTCGGGATTTCATTTTCAGTTCCCCCGGGACAGATTGCAAAAATGTGTTAAACATGTTTTTAAAAACTTTGGAAACATGTAAGGGTTGGTATCCCGGGCCATGATTTCGAAATATTCCACAAAACTTTTGGCAAAAATGGTGGAGGAATCGGTTCCTCTTTCGTTTGTTTGAAGAACTTATCATCGTAGAAACAGTTTGCTTCTACCTTGCAAAAGTTTGCTAACTCAATGGTTGAATTTCCTGAGGACAGTGCGTTCTTTAAGTGAGTCACGAGCTAAAAGAATTTTAGCTGTTATTTTAATAGTATAATCAAGAAGAATATTATTGATGGGTCTGTTAGTGGTGTAGATTACAATAATGCTTCCTTCAGGTGGTTTCAGTTACTTTCACAACTGCCGAGAATTTTTGGTGTAAGGTGGATTATTTTCAATTACAGGTTTGAGTATTTTAGCGGTTTCGAAACTTCTGCGAAACAACAATACACTGTAGAGACAGTTGGTCTAAAGGGAACGTTTATGTATTTTAGATAAGCAGTAAAAATAAGGTGTCAGTTGATCACTGTTAAATTAAGTCTATCGCATACATATCTAATCGTCTGATTCCGTGATTTTAGGTGCAAAGCAAAGATTGATACTAAAGTACATCTAATATACTACTTGCGCATGTTTAGTCTCGAGAAGCACCGTTGCAGTGTGGTCGACGCGTTGGTGACAGATTAAATAAGGTTACTTTACGATCAGCCTTTGCCTCGCGGTCCAAAATGATCGAATTTGAAATCAAGTGCGTGACACCGATCGTTATAAATATCTTACCTTTACAACACTCTTATTCGAGCGGGACTCAAGATCGCAAAAAATTATTTTTCGGGGGGGGGGATCGTCCGCTACAACACTAAGCCTGAAATACTGTGGAATGGTGTTACGATTGACGAGCTGATCCGTGTCAAGTATTTCGAAATTGTGTTAGCTAACGATGGCAACATTGATGTTCAGGTGACCGGTGTATCGATCTGACATAGGCGAACTGGGTCATACTGTACGACGTATGAAAAATAAACTTTAAGAACGGAGACGAAGATTTTCATTTCGAAAGCAGCCGTATTTGCAGTGCTCATGCATAATCTCGAAACGCCTTCCGTCCTGAAGCATCATTAAGCTCGCTTAGACAACATCGAACCGCCGTTTGCGTAGCGTCCTCAAGGCGCGAAGTACCAACAGGTAATGACTAGCAGGTAATAGGGTACCAGACTATCAACGATATGAGAAAGTTATCAGAAAAACTTAGATATTTGTGCTTAGCTTTGGATCATAAAATGGCCAAATAGAAAATTGGAATATATTCAAAAACTTTCTCGTTTAGAAAGCATGCGCTTCGCATAGACGCTTTTGAAGATTATACGAAACGTGGGCATCTCGCTGAGACACACCTGCTCATGAAAATTTATGCGACCATTACCGCAGCAATGAACGTTGCCAAACATCAGTCTCTATTACCGATTTATAACGGTCAAAATCAAACTGGGTTACGGTGTAAATGTAAATAGTACTGCATGCTACACGCTAAAAAACTAGATCAAAAATTTCCTGACTGCAAAACTCTTGCAAAAATTTGACGCCTTTCACAACTGCAACGATATGAACACATGCCAGTTATTTTCAGTCGCAAAAAAATTTGCTCTAAAGCAAAATGCTACAGTATCTTTCAAAAATACAGCGGCAAATCTAATTACTACCGAGCCCCACTTATCGATAAATTCGTTGGCAGAACAAAATGAGTATTTAGTAAACCGCGGTAATCCTTTCCGCAGTAAACGTTCAGTATGGTTTACTGTGATCAGGGGCAGTGCTCAGAAATTTCACAAAAAGACACGTGCCTTACCAAATTAAGGAATGTTTTGTATAATGCCCGGTATTTGGCTGGTAACGATAACATCAACATTGCTACTGTTTGACCCTTTGCTTTCGTGGTGGACCAGCATTCAACGCGATGACCATGGTGAGCTCGAACATTTCCTTCATCATTCTCATGGATAACCAACCGATGTACAATATTATAATTGGACCACAGTTGGCCAATACCGCCTTTCTTTAATGAAGGCAAGAAAACGATACTTAATAGAATCTTTTTTGTCCTTTAACTTTTAGTTACTCGAGTATCGTTACAGTATCATTACAACAGAGCAAGCATTGAAATAATTCAAGTTATAAGAGTTAATATGTTCAAATTTCGACAATGAACAAAACCAGGTTTGGCCTTGAAGGAAACCCACTTGCATGTTCCTATCATTACAAGGAATGGAATTCAGATAACGACACAATGGTTTCAATGTTTGACGAAGATCTGAGTGTACAATCGCGCTTATGTACGTTAACAACCTTTACAGTACAGGCATCAAAAAAATCGTTCAAGACAAAACAGGAGACCAGTTCACAAGTTCACAGTAAATGAAACGTTACGCTGGCAGTGCTTGAATTTCTTTACTACCTCGTTGAACAGCTTCCTGTCAGGCAAAATTGCTCGTTGTTGAACATCTGGATCTTAAAACTCGATTATAAATGAGATTTTATTCAAATCTGCAAGCGAACGATCGATTACCATCATCCATCACGTTTGTCGGATCCTCCTGAGAGTCGTCGCCATCGATCAGCACACAGTTGATCGGCTTGCCTAAAGGTGTAGGTAAGGCAGGAAGGCAAAAGAAAACTCTAGCAGCGTCTTACCGTCTAATTCCCGCCCATGAAATTCTGCCACTGCTTGCTGCGCTTGAAGACGGTTCGAATACACCACGATCGCGATTCCTTGCTTTAAGAAATACGCCTGTTCCAGGGTACCGACTGAACCGAACAATTCCTGTAAAAATCAGCACATATGGTTAGACAATATAAACAACTCTTACATTTAATCTGTACTAGACTTAGTGCACGAAAGTACTGACAATTTTTCGAACATGATGCAATACTGAACAATGACCATCGGCAAATCGTTTTCTCTCCTGACCTCTATTTAAGCCAGCCTCATCAGAACAAGAAATACGCGTTAACGTGAAAGATTCACTCCTGAAGGTTACAGCCTGACACGGGATCGCAAACGGTAGAGACACTGTCTTACGCGTCTGACTCCGTGACCTGAAACGATAAACGGTCTTCGAAACTGAGTGAAATTTGGCAAGAAGTTCCTTAAAGTCGCGCATATTCTAAAAGTTATTATTACCTAAAACTATCATGCCATTCGAAACTTCAGTACATATTTTGACTAATTTCATGCCCAAAAATGTGTTCAGCTGATAATGACCTTTCCTAGCTCTCAGCAAAAATAGCGATTTACGGCATTCATTTTACATTAGTATTCAAGTTAAGCCTAGTAAGGTTATCTTGTATTACTAATCCATACAGCTGATAAATGTTTATTACTTCCATAATTTCTGAATTCTAAAATAAGCCTTTAAAAACAAGTATTACGCAAAACAGTTGTAGCAGTTAAGGTCAAATGTACAGTACCGCTGTCAGTACCCTATTACTCATCCAAAAAAATGCACTGCTCTTCTGACCTCCACATCCTCTTTGGAAACGGTCGCGTTCAGATTGCTGACAATAAGACTGCACGGCTGGCCGGAAGCATGAGGTATCGCCATGCCTGCTGCTCGAACGATACGAGGCGGTGATTGGTCTTGTACATCCTAAACAAGCACATAGAATAAAAAATTGCGCAGCATATTCTTTCCTCACCTCCAGCGCGCTAATAAAAAGATTTTTATTCGCAAATCCGTTCCTTGCGAATCGAGCCGGCCTGCTAACCTGAAAAATCGCGATTCCAAAAAGTAAAATTATGCTGAATTCTGTGTGACTTAAAACACCATAGATCATATGCACCTTTGAAATCATTATCCTTATTTGAGAGCTTGAATGCTACCGTAAAAATTTTTTCTTGTACCGTCTTCAAGAATCAATATGGTGTGTCCCCTCTCCTGTTCCCTGCTTCCAAGTTTCTAATCGGAGCATCGTCCCCGAAAACAGAACTGTTCAAACGGCTATTAATGCAGGCTACCAATGCCTTGCCAGCCGAATGACCTTGGTTGCTGCCGACCAAAGTTACACTATGATGAGCTGATTACGTATGTGCATCCAGCAAAACATGGACACAAAATCTGATTATCGTGTTCAGTACAAATTTTGGGTTGATGCTTCGAACAGACTATTGTCTGATCCAACACAGAGGTGCGGTTTTCCATATATTACAGATGTTCTAATATCATGGAGCTATGGTCAGCTGAAAAGGTACCCTGTGATTCTGAGAGAAAGAAGAATAGTGCAACCACGCCGTCGTGCAAATCTGGAATAACATATACATTACAGTATTATACTATCTTGTTATTTCACAGCAAGGCATAACTATATATCCATAGTATTAACTAATAATACAAGCTATGCCACAGTCGTTAGTTAATATTAGTCGTAGAACTGCTCACGGCGGTACACATGATCAGTGATTAATACTGCAGGGATATCGTTATATCTTGCTGTAGAATTAATCGATAGTACTCATCATACCAGTGCAAGTACACCTCAAGCTGGAATAAGCGTTATGTATAATAAACCAGCTGTTCCACCGTTTCAATTAATCATTGGATGAAAGATGGCTGAACGGAGTGTATCATGTGGTATAACCAATCAATGTAATCAATTCACTTCGAGGATCTGTACCTTTGAAACCTATTTTGAGTGTTTCAGAGACAAATTCTACGTATATGCGGAATATACCTATGTCAAAAATCAGAGAGCGGTAAGCTGCTTAGTAAAAAGCCGCTTAGGCATCTATCGGCAAAGAAGCACTGGCCAAAATGGTAAAATCCTGTTGGTAGAATTATCTTTATTAGCATATTGAGCATGTTCGAAGCTATACCATATTTTTCATAGACCTGCATGTGATTTGAGCCAAATACATTTACAGAGAGAACGCAGAACCCTAGACTAGAAAATAATTCAGCAAGGAGTGTAAGCTGTTATTGGTTCGCATTATCATCTAAAGGATGGAACACATGGAAATGGACCGAACAGAACGTACACGATAAAACAAATAGATTATTCAAAACCTAACGAAAATGTTACTGACCCTCTTAACTCAAAATAATGCATTATTACGACTTCCGAAAGCGCTACTGGAAGCTACAGCACAAAAAACTTACTTGTTGGTTGAATTGCTTGCCAATACCAAAATACGGGAGGCGATTAACCTGAAAAGTGAGTTAGCAATGGCGCGACAACGGGCCACAGTACTTGTGCGGTGCCGTTACCATGGTCGACAACGGTGACGGTTAAATTTTGGAAGTTACCACGCCGTCGTTTAGCCGCACCACTACGGCCGGCTCGCCTGAAGACGTTCCCCCTGTCACCAGGGCTGACTACCCTCTGGTTGGTCACATCCACTCTGCTGTTGAGACGACGAGCCTGCAATCGTTTGGTCATCGCGTTTGCTTTACGTCGCGCCTCAATGCGCAGCCGAGCGTCGAATTTCATCGTTGCTGAACAGATCCACCACAAGTTTTAAGCCAATCAACAACGTGCCAAGCCAAAGATCTTAAACATAAACAATAAACGTAAAAAGTGTTTAACAAATTCAACAAATCTGATGCTTAACATAGCCCAGATGCCGCGCCCGTCGCTAATCACAAATACCAGATTGGATTTTACGATCGAGAAAATGCATGCGAGGGCCAGTGAAGTTTTTCGCATATGATGATTGAGTAAAATGAATATTTTTGATCCGACGTATTCCTGAACCAATCTGCTAACCATCACAAGTTCGGCATGGCTATCCACATATATACTCGACACGATCTTCAGCCGTAAGCTACGATTCATCACATGAATCCACTCCAATAACGAATGACTTCTCCAAAACCAGATCTTACGGTGAACTGCACTTCCCTTTGCTTCTAGCTGCCTAAGGAAGAAGCATTTAAGCAGGCAATGGCCTCATGGTATTTGAGCGTCAGCAGTGCATCTCACATCATTTTGTCCCCTAGAGCTAGCTACCGCCCATCACGAACGATACTTCAGGAAATGGTACTCCATGTACAGCAGCAGAAACGGTAGACCAATGACGTTCTTCTCATTATCATAAATGGTCCTCGTAAACTATAAACCTCACAGCGCAACTCTACCTACTAATCGATTGTATATTTGCCC